GCATAACACATGAGGCATAAGAAATTGAACCAACCAGAGTTCTCTATTACATGGAAGGGAAAGAAACGGAGAACTTCGATTGGTACATATTCTTATGCATTACGTGTTATGCGTTATGCAAGAGTCTGTGCTACCCGCTTTACGCTTCGTATCATCGGAATCCTGGGGCTCTATTCTCGAAAAGAAACGTATACGAAAGTCTAGGTAAATACTATAGTATACGTAAAGCCGGCGGCACACGATGCTTGTTTTCCTACTGGATTGCTAGCTGGATTAGAATCTTGCCACCGTATTGGATGTCATGCTGTCAGTGCCAGCATCGCAGCCAATACAGTGGCAAGATTCTAATCCAGCTAGCAATCCAGCAGGAAAACAAGCATCGTGTGCCGCAGGCTTAACATATACTGTAGCATTTCCCTAGACATTCGTATACGTTACTTTTCAAGAATAGAGCCCCTGTTTTTTGATTGGTTGAAGAACGTTGTACAACGCAAATCGGATGCAGGGTGAATCCAGCATAACCACGAAAAAAAAACCAGATCTACAGAGCACCAATTGGCACCTTTTTGCTACTAGTGCAACTGTTGATTGGTTCACTAGTTTCAATAAATGTCAAATTCTGTCAAATTCTGTTTTTCTTTAATGTGAACTTTCTATTATACGATCTTTATGTTTTGCGACATTGCGAAATATTGTAAATAAATAGCGAATGAAGAAATTTTGTCTTTTTTTTTTAACAGATTAATATTTTGCGGCATATATAGTGTCTAATAACCAAAGAATTACATTTCGGCATTTCTTAACCTAACCCTAACCTATACATTATTTCTCTTTTTATCGTTACATACATATTTTTTCTTCCCCGTTCTACGTTTTCATCGCTCGACTACAAAATGAGTTCTCACGGAAAAGCAGAAACCGACAGACTCAGGAAAAATTTGGAAGAACAATTGGATCGGCTCGTGCAACAGTTAGAAGATTTGGAAGATTGCAGGTTTCGTTTCGTTCCGATTCTTTTCAAAAATTTTACATTTATATATATTTTTGTTTTCTTTGTTATTTCGTTAACAGAGTTAATAAAACTCTGGACGAGACAGATTATCAGGAATGTAAGGAAGATACCATGGAACAGCTCCGTGAGTTTAACGAGAGTTTGCAAAGAATGATATCTGGGAATATGACGTTAGTCGATGAACTTGGAGCAATGCAATTGGTATATATCTTATGTATTTTTCTTAACAAATAGTAATGTAACACATTCTAGTATACGTTTCTACTCGACTGAAAATTCTTAACAGGCAACTCAAGCAGCCATCAGTGCTGCCTTCCAAACACCAGCCGTGATAAGAATGTTTGGTAAGCGGGAACCTACTGGACTCAAGGAACGTCTCTCGCAAATCGATCGAGATGTAAAATTAGGAAAACTGAACAAAGAAGCCGCCGAACGCCAACGAGGAGAAATATTAAGTGCTTTGAGGCAACTTGGAGAAAAATTAGAACCGTCTGAGTTACAGTTGTTGGAACGATTATCTTTAAATAATATAGATACCACCAGGTATGTGCAAATTACCGAAACAACGGGAAAGGGTAAAATGGCTCTAGATGTAGTCGGCAAGGAAGTTAAAGCTACACAAGATACTTGAATTAATCGTTGGTAATTGTTATAACAATGTTACGTTATTTTTAATTATTTTGTATCACTATTTTTTAAGAGTTTTGTTAAAGAATTTTTTTATCGAACAACTTGTATTTTTATACAATGTGTCTTAGATTTTTATTTTTTTATTATTCATGATTTAAAACAAAGTTTTGATGCCATTAACATTCAAACGCTTGCAAATTGAAATGTATGTGGTAAACTGTACAATTAAATCACTTATAGATTTTGCTGTAATGTAGCAGGAATATATTGATTGTTATTTGATGTAAAGAAATGGTTCTGTATATTATGGAGATTTTAAATATAAATAAGTAATCAAAGATAAATAATATAAAAAACATACACAAAACTTTTAATATATAAATAATATATGAATAATTTCAAATATGAATTATTTGCTATTGTTTAAGTATTTACTGTGATCCAGCACAAATAGTTACATCCAATTAGATTTTATAGTACACACCAGATACAACATATATAAAGGTATCTTGTATATGTTCACAAGAGATTGTTACATATGAATTATGAAATAAATATATTGATGTTTCTGTGTGACACTTACCGTTTCCACATTTAAAGAAATCATTTCACTTGATAAATTAAAGTAAGAATTGCAAAGAGATAACATCCCAAGACAAATATGATGAATAACTGTTAATTAATGACTGAAATAACAATATATATTTGTTCACATTATGACAGACGTAATTACGTTGTGGTCTGTTATTAATATACTGTATAAGGAACAAAAACTTATCTAGAAAAATAATAGGTCAAAAAGATTAACAAATATATATATATATATATATATGTACCTTTTACGAATTATTTTCGCGCATATGATTATCATTATATCTTTTCAGAATCTGCGTAAATATATAAATATCAATAAGTATAAAACTATGTTTAAAAACTATTTTGTTATGTAGCTTGATACAAGTAAAAATAGTCTTTTAAGACTTGCGTGTACATATAACAGTCCTTCCTAGAAAGGAAGTTTACGAAGGCATATCGAATTGGTGTCAAGAATATATTAATGTGCTTCTACTACTATTCTCTGATATGTGTGCATATATGCATACATATAGCCTATTCCAGAAATAATTTTATTCTTTGAAGTCTTTGATTAATTTAAATCACATTTAATTTTATTTATCCTCTCAAACCTTTGTCTCACAAGATTTTTTTAATTTTCAAATTTTTTTGCTTGTAACACAAAACCTATTATCAGAACTGTTGGAAAAATGATAAGATAAACGGTATTCTCTGTTCAATATCAACTTGGGACACTGTATACACATGCATACACACACATTTACACATATATTATATACAACAAGGTATGAAAAAAGCGTTCAGATAAACAAGTAAATTAATTCTTTTCATACACTAAAAAGTGCTTGTACCTTTATATAAGTATACTTTTTTTCTTTTTTAATCTGAACGCTTTCTTATATGTCATTGTACTCAATGTATTCGTCACATAAATTAACGCTTACGCCTGCACACTCTTTTGTGTTCACGCTGCCAATGAACTTGTTGACAGTCTGTGCTGCAATATGCAGTATTCCAACAACAATGATATATCGCTTCAGCTTCGCAATTATAACACTATAACAAATGATGGACATTTAAGAATAATATATCTCAAAAAAAAAACGACTAGAAAAAAAGATGAGAGAAAATTACCCATTGTTTCTTTTTTATGTCAGAGACGACTTGTTGATGTCTATCGGTTAATTGCCGCAATTCTTTAGCATGCTCCGCTTGTAGTCTCTCTAATTCTCTGCACTTTTCAAGCTCTAATTCACGGCGCAATTTTTCTAGCGCCGTTGTCGTAGGTTGTTCCGAAGTTCTGCGTTCTCTTTTAATCTGCAAATTAATCTGCACAGTTGTCAAGATATAATCGTATAATATAACCGTGTGAGTACGTGATTGAGGCAAAGGTTTACCTTGGCAGGAAGCCCATCCGTTTGTATTTGTTCAGTTTGTACGAGAACGCATTTTGATCTCGGTTCTTGGCAACTAGATGTTACCATATCTTCTTGGGAACCTTCCTTCTTTAAACCTTGTGGACATGTGCTTGTTATGCTTTCTCCCGCGGGTTCGTCTTCCGCTACAGGTAAACGAGGCACCTGTCTTTCTTCATTCTCGGCATCAGTTTTCGTAGCATCTTGTTTATTATCCGTCTCATCGTTTACATTTTGCGTTTCAGTATTGCTTTCTGAACTCAAGCGTTCGACTCTTACTCTCAAATCTTTAATCAGTTGCTTTGGTGAATTAGAATCTTGTGAAGCACTTTTAGAACCCGATGATTCCAACTTTCGCATTTTTGCAGGTGTAGGAGCGTCGTCTGTTGTATTCGAGTCATCTTCCTTATTCTTTGCCAACTTTTGCAACAAATTCTGATGATGCTTTAGCTCTTCAAAAGCTCTGTTCCAAGCCATTGATTTTTTTATCTATAAAAACATTTTTAATTATAAAAAAAAATCGAAATTTTTGTATCATTTATAGAATTAAATATCTTGGAAAGGAATTACTTATATATTTCAACTTATATGTTATATGTAATTAGTTGTATGTTTTCAACTGTTTGCACCGTAAAGATGCAATTTCATGCAGCGAAGGAAAACTGGGTTTTTACCTACTCCACCACAATCAAAGCAGTGTTCAAAAGCTATTCGCTCTTCTCCTGCTTCTCTTTCATGGAGTGTATCTTCGCTAGCTTTAATTTTCGGGTATTGCCAAAAAATGATCAGCCATGATCGTTAAAAACACACTTAATGACACTTAATAACACTTAATTCAATATAAAATAAAATATATTTACGATATTTATATCGCTATATTCTACAAATGAATATATGACATTTCAGCTTTCAGCATATTTCGCTATCAGTTGAACAATATCAAACTTTGAGCGTAACTTCGCTGTACACGAAAATTGATAGAGTGGGAGTAAAACGCCAGCTTTTATTAGCTGTATGAAATGGTATCTTTACTATCGTCTTTGATTCTTCTCATTTCTTTTTTAAAAATATAATAGTTTCTAAATTGATTTCCTATGGAGTTTTTTTTCTATCGCAATTATGATACGAGAGTATTCATTGCGAATAAACAATAAACTTAATATCGGTGTTTTTAAAATTCGGATAAGTAATACAGAGTATTCAGATTTAGATTTTTACCTGCAAACTTTGCAATGTGGAAGAAATTGGCCGAATAAAAACTTTCTCGATATTAGCCCTCATATGATGACCTCCGAAAAAACGCACATCATATACATTGCCATTAACTTGCATGACTTTTGCTGGCCAATATGGATATCCCTTTTGCTTCGCGTAGACCAGTTGATGAGGAGGATTACATGGTATACAGAACCACATTTTTTCGGATTTTTCATTCGATATACGATAACAATCAGCGCAACGACGTATTTCTTGAAGATCGTAACAACAGTCCTGATACATCGTGCGTCCCATATCCGCTATCACGCTATTAACTGCTCGAGCAACAAGACAACGAGATACTTAAAAAGAGAAAATGCATCGAATTATAAATCTCTTACCTCCATGATATATAATGATGTTATGTAGAATATTATGTGCATCAGCCTCAAATTCGGCGAGATTGTTATACTCATTATTGCTCGTTTTCGCATCCATTATCGCTAAATCCATGTGACGCTTTATAAGAATTCCTGATCGCCATGCATCTTCACCTTCACTCACCCAGGTTGGTCCGGAAAAGCCATTGGGTGGTGTAACGATCGGATCGTTGTTAAAAACAATGGTACGATTTGTAATTTCCGGCGGTAATTTCGCCTTTAGATGGCCACACGTAAAACTAAGAATATGGTTGAGATCAACCTTGTCGGAATATACATCGCTGTTTGTTTTCTGTAAGATAATTTGTAATGTTTTAATGAAATATCATCAATATTATAGGATATATATTGAGAACTTCGAGATGCTTACTTCGCAGAAACTGCAAATCTTTAGTTTTGCAGTGCTGGGTACATGGCATTCCGAATGATAAACCCTGCAGCATTGTTCACAGCATTCGACCGCACCTGCTTGCTGACATTTGCAACAGTACCAATCGTGATTATCATTCTGTAATATATCTGACGGTGGCAATCTGTAACTCTCTTGCTCGATGCCACTTTTCGTGGGCACTTTCTTCAACAAAACGAGTCCATCTTCGACTGCCTTATTGAGTTCCTCCTGAGCCTCTTGTTCCGTAAAGCCGTAAACTCGAGCCATGTGCCGTACCATACGATCATTACTAGGTAGGCTCCTTTGATGTACCGTGATTTTAATCGTATCCCAAATCCGCTGAATCATAGATGGATCGCTTCTCCGATGTACAGACATATCGATAGCAAACTGTAACAAAAAATAACTTGTGCAATTCATTCGTATACTTCTGTTTCCTTCCTGAGTTTTAATATTTCTATTATAACCAAATTATTCAACGGAAAAACAAAATATTTAATCAGTTACTCATACAAAAAGAATTTAGTAAAAAAATTAAAATATTTTTGTAGCTCCAAAAATAAAACAAATGTAAGTAAATTGCTTATGTGAGTCTCCGCAATTGTTACTAATGTTAGTGCATAAATAATATATTCATAAGGCGATAAGAGAACCAAGAGAACTGCACTGAAATCTAAAGTCGAAACGTTTACAGTTAACTTCGTTGATAAGTACATTTCAATTGTTTGTGAATATCTTATCGTCTTATAAATATATTATTTATGCACTAACACCCGTGGAGACTCTTATAGGCTTATCACTTATATAATAACTTATATATAATATACTTATATAATAAAAAAGATTGCTAATTAGTTTCAAATAAATAATTACGTACAGCTATATATATAAAATATATTTACTTAAAAATAATATATATACAAGTACTAAAAAAAAATGTGTTCAATGAAAAAATTAATTACTATATTAAGATAAATCTCAATCAAAAGCGATCTGTTTAAACGCTATCATTATAAATATTTGATTTCTTTTACTCTTAATTATTATTTCCTTCCGATTTCATGGTGTAATTAAACTACCAATAAAATGAATATTAAAAATTCATATATATAGATGATATAATTACGACTCACTAAGAACTTAGAAACATTAAAAATTAATGAAGATGAGTCATTGTATTCTTTATTAATGGACTAATGAGTTTCTCTCTCTTCAATTTTTCTTTACTTTGTTTTTAGAATGAAAGGACGGAAAGATCATTTGTATTCAGATGTGTTCCGTCTTTTCACACGATAACTTCGTATTTTCTAATCTCAAAGCATTATCATGTAAGTTATTAAATTATAAATACTATCATTTGTAATAGATATGAGAGTGTTGTATTATAGAATTTCATTATGTTAAATATCTTTTTTAAACATTTAATAATTAAAGTATACATGTTTGTAATTAGCATTCCGTGAAGAACAATGATATGTTGTGGAATTGTGTACATTGATAAGCATCCGAAGCGAGGATCGAAACGTTTAGTAACGAAATTATCGAATAAATTCATTTACACACGAACTACCAATGTTTGACTCGGAAAGGCATCTCCATATACATAGATTTAAAAATTCATAACAGTAAAAATATAGATAGTTGAGCCATCAGCAACGTTTAAGTTGATAAGTATTTTGCCCTCATATGCAGTCAATACAGTACAGATAAATTTAAATTGCATTAGGCACGTTAACTGGGTACCCACATATATATCAGTATATGCAGTACCCATATGCTTATAACAAGTACTTTATTCAGTCGATTTCTATCAATCTCAAGGTGTGGTAGTTTTGCAAATAATCGGTGTAAATAAGTTTCAATAAACAAAGACAAATATTTTTAATCGAGGAAGATCTGCCATCGCACTATGCATTCCGCGGTGCTAGATGCAACAGGTTACACTCTGTTGCTATCCAGTTTTATTACGCTTGTGATTCTGTTATGGAAAGGATGTAAACGCAAGAAGAAATTGTCGTTTTACGTTCTTTCGGCATCTGACGTTTTTAGTGCTATTTTAACGGCTATTATATTGCTCGTGAATCACATTGATGATGGGATAAGACTGAGTTATAACTGGCAGAATAACACTAATGGTGATATATTCAATGCATGGACAATGGGAGAAGACTACCGATTTCCATTTTTACAGACTCATCCACGGGAGGCAGTCAACGAGATTGATCTTAATGTAACTTTAACGTGTGGCATGCAAGACTTACTTATGCAATATGGGATGTTAATTGCTGGACTGACAAACGCGTTTATATCTTTGCTGACCTTTACTGTACAATGTAATCTCAATGCAGTATGTGCAAAACGAAGATGTGCCGATGTAATGAGATCGTTGAAGAATACTCATTTGGAACCAAAAAACGTTGAAGTCAAATGTCAAGACGGTGAAATGTCAAGACGAAAAAATGAACAGGAATCAGCATCTCAACAAGCAGATGATATTAATGTCAAGAATAGGAGCAACATTATACAGAGAAGTATGAAGATCTCAAACTTTCGAACGCTGAAAGAAGATGACAAAAGGCCGACTAATTTCCTCGTCATGAGTCATTGGCTCGTGCCGTTTCTTGTTGTAGGAATGTTATATTTCGCCGAATACAATGACATGAATGACACAAGAGATGCGGAGGATATCGAATGCATATTTGGAAGTAATTTTCCAATGAATGACTTTGATACATTTTCAGTCACTGATGATAATCTGAACATCACCGGCTCTGTTACATACATGACGTCGGAGCATAATTATTTCTTTAATGAAATGCCATCAAACAGGTCAAAACCAAGCAGCGCAGAAATAGATGAAGTAGTATCTAAAGTTCAGAACATCGTTAGGACTGCTTTACGTTATGCGAGCAATTCTACCATGAAAATTACAAATTTCCATAATACTCCTAGACTGCAGAATTTAACGCAGTACATTCTAATACACAATTTAATGAAGTATATAAAAAACATTACAAATGTTAATGGCGTTCGAGGACTGAATAGTACACTAATAGAACGGGATATAAGTATCCATAACTCATCTACAAACAATAGTATACATTTAAATCAAGATTCAGAAGTATCATTACTCTACGATGTGTCAAAGAATGCGTCAGAAGAATCAGATGTAACTACATCTGAGAGTCTAAGCAACGTATCGCAAGTGTCAATTAAAAACAAGGATGACAGTCATCAAGAGGATGCGCAAATATATTTCGCAAGTACGGAGGAAAGCACAACGCAAACGACCACCGATACTTCCATCGTGCAAAATACAACATTTGTTTCTAACAATCAAATATATGATGAGATAATGAAACGTATTCAAGCTGCCAGCGCGTATTCAGCGAAAAATCATTACAATCATTATAATCATTTAATTAATCGACCCAAAGATGGAGACCAGCCTAAGATTAGCAATCTAAATAATTATATGGAGAAGAGGAAGCCGAATTCAATCAAGGATCTATTTTCCAAAAATGATAATCGCTACATTAATACTAGGACCGAACAGAACAATTCATTGCATATGACCAACGAGTGCCTCGTTTCAACCAAGTTCTTAAAACTGCAGCTGTTTGTGTTATCCTTTACGATGTACTTTCTGCCAATTCTGCTCTCCTGTATCCTACAAATGCGAGGAAAGCACACGTGTAAAAATATACTCGCGATGTTAAGAGCGAAAACCGATCTTACTTCCAAAGATGATAAAAAGATTCGTCGTCAAGATTCAGTAGAAGGACCCAGCATGCCACAGGGATCAAGGAACCACAGTTGGACAGATATAGATGCAATAGAAAAGGATCATGAAAGTTGCAAGGAAAATGAAAGCATGGCTTTAGAGATAGATTGCATGATAAGAATATTTGATACTATCACGTTATCGTTGATTTTGTGCATAGTTTTCTGGACACCGGTATTCTTGGGGACTCTATTAAGAGTATACTCGTGTATCCGCGCTCCACAGTGGTTGAACGACATAACATTCTTAAGCGCTGTTTCTTTCGGTATCGTAAGAAATGCCCTGAATATAAATATAATCAGAATTCAAGAAGCTTGTAGTGACAATATGAAAGAAAATAGGATACATCCAGTTGAATAAGTCATATATGTGTGTATGTTTAATATAAGTTATATTATTCAATATATATTCGAATATTAATGAGTTCAGTATAATAATGATAATGATAGTAATCAGAATTGATTTTTGCTTCTAGCAAAAGACACGGATGATACAGTGCCAATATAGCATTACATCCTTATTATTTGTCAAAAGATGAACTTTACACTGTAAATCCGTTTTCTGTGACTTTTGGAATTTAAATTGATAAGTATATGTTATTTGGCGAAAGCGAGAAAGAGAGTTCTAGTGCAGTCTAGTGCAAGAATAAAAAACAGATCTTGCGTTACACTTGTGTTACTTTGTGTCTTTTGCTGGAAAGCACCAATCTCTGATGTAACAACAGTGATCACTTCATCTCAGTTTAACAGCAAACAATAAGGATGTAATGATTTATTATGGATGCTTTCCATTTGGTAACACAAATCGACAGAAATGTAGTTCTATCTTTTTATTGACTGAAATACCAAAAAAGATAAAGTGCACTTAATGATACAAGTGTTATTCTATCTTTATTAATCACTGAATGCCAAGAAAGATAAAATAATGTTTGTGTCGTCACTAAATACGAAACACCTTGTGTTACGTTAGTTTCTTTCCATTTTTTCACAAGTGAGATATTGATAATGAGTCTAAAAGTAACATATTTTACACTCAAATAATGACATTGCTTGCTTACTTTGAACAAAGTCAGTATAATAATAGGTTTTAAAACCTTGCTTTTAACACGAGTTACACACTCAACACTTAGTAAAGTACATGGCTATGTCTCAAGCTTTTGTAGATAAAAACTGAGTTGACTCTCGCATGTAAGAATGAAAAGGAATGTACATTCAACTGAGTCATATGTATGCCTGTATTTACAATCAGACCTTATATTTAAGATCTTTAAATTTATCTTTAGATGCTCAGTAGTCAATAAAATAATTCGTAGAGCATCCAAAGATTAAATTTAAAGAAGTCTTATAAGCTTTTTACAATAAGCTATTACTTAAGTTTTAAGTCTCAAATCATAAGAAATTAACCAATCACAGAATGTAAGAAAAATTATCGATTGGTCAATTTCTTATAGCTTAAGACTTAAAGCTCGGGCAATGATTTATTGTAGAAAACCCGTTAAATATAAGGCCCAACTATGAATACAGGCAATAACATGACAAATGAGAATTATCTTATTTTGATGCAAATGGAAAGCAACAATTATATCATTTGTCCCTTACTGGAAAGCACCCTTTGCATCAAGGATCACATACATTTTGCAGTCGTGAAATAGTCGTTTTTGGTACACGCTGATGTGGCAGAGAAAGGAGAATTTGTCAAAAGCATCAGAAGTATACTTTATTCGATTTTGTCTGAAATACCAAAAATAAAAAAAAAATATCAAAAGTAGATATATTTCTTTACATACAAAGTCATTAAAACCCCGATTGTGACTTAACTCTAATCGCCTGTACCATCATAACGAAAATATTTCTCATGCTGTACGAAACAAATACGTATGATTAGATAATCGCATTTTATTCCAGAAGCGCGTTTCCAGCGTCAATATTTCCTGCCCGTTATAGTAAATATTGTCGCGAAAGTGCCCATATGCGAATTGAACGAAATTCGTAAAGGTGTACGCATAGATAGGACGTTCGCTTACTGTGCACTTATCACTTATCGCGAGCAAAGTTTCGGTCGCTATGCGGACTGTAGATGTAGACGATTGTCGGCAGAGTCGGCAGAGTTATCCGAGATATCGCGGACGCCTTTTCTAATGGCCCTAATTGGGTTCCACACCGTCACGGAGGCAAGTACATCGATCAGGCGAGTGAATTCCTTTGATTGTTGCCGTCGCCGCTCGCGAAAGCGGCCAGTAACGGGCAGCGAAACACAGCAATTAACATAGGAATACCACCCGTACTGTGCGCTGTGCAGTACTACGCGTACGTACAGTGGTACGTCACAAGCCCGACTTAACCTCCTCGTCAGCGGGCTTAACAATGCGCGCGCAACTTATATAATTGCATATCGACAAGTTGTTTTTTTTACACGTATGGTACTTAGGTACGTACCGCACAGTAGAAACGATGCGCGCGGTGCCGGCTCGAATTCGCGAGTATTGCTCACGTCAATGTCTTTCAAGAGACTCATATGTAGAATCGATAATAGAGGTCCCAACAATTAACATTTGAAAGAAACCTTTGCCGATTTTTATCAAATTTAAAGTTTAGTAAATAATTAAATTGAGAAAGATTTCAAATTTTAAGCTCAAAATTGCAACGAAACGATAATGGTGGTAGAGAAGTCAAGACACAAACAATTAGGTCAAAATCTATTTTAATAAATTGGTTCTAACTGTTGATCTAATTACTTATTCGTATATTGACCTCTTTATTATTATTATTATTATTAGAAAAATTTAAGAAAAATTTAGTAAAACTGAAAACAAATCTTTGCCGAATTCAATGAGGTTTAATAAAAAAAAAAAAAAAACTATTAAGTTTAGTAAAATCTATTTATTTAAGAACTTGGTGCGAACTTTAAATGTTGCCGGCACATTAAAAAAATGTCAGAGTTTATAATATAATTAAATTATATAATTTTTTATTTTAAAAATATTGTTCTAATTTACTTGTTATATACATTTATGTGTATGTGTATATACATACAAAATATACTACTGAATGTACAGTGATGGGAGAAAGTTCGGCAACGGTCAAATATCCTGGAAAATAATGCTTATGGAAAAAAATGTTCAATACAAAAGTTTTAGTATATCAAGTGGTCTATTATATGGTTATGTTGAAATGACCTTCATGTGACCTTGAAGGACACCGTGAAGGTCAACTTTGAAATCTTAAATAGAAATACCTATTTTCTCTTACATATCCTTAAAGCTGGTGTCAAGACGTTTCCGAAACACTGGTTACAAATCCTTTTTGCTTGAGATCTTCCTGAGTTACGAACCTTTAAAGTTTAAGTATCGCCGGCGCTTTATCTAAAGTATGCGCGCGCGCGCACACGCGCACACACACACACAACGCGCGCGCACAAGACTCACTTTGATCAAGCATCTCGAAGAGATGGATATCCGACCGTGCCACCTCCACGTAGTATACCTTAGATAACGCGCCGGCGATACTTAAACTTTAAAGGTTCGTAACTCAAGAAGATCTCAAGCAAAAAGGGTTTGTAACCAGTGTTTCGGAAACGTCTTGACACCAGCTTTAAGGATATGTAAGAGAAAATAGGTATTTCCATTTAAGATTTCAAAGTTGACCTTCACGGTGTCCTTCAAGGTCACATGAAGGTCATTTCAACATAACCATATAATAGACCACTTGATATACTAAAACTTTTGTATTGAACATTTTTTTCCATAAGCATTATTTTCCAAGATATTTGACCGTTGCCGAACTTTCTCCCATCACTGTATATTACTTATTTGTTATACGTAAACAATGCATATATAATATTCTTATAATCAGAATATATTGCACTTGTTGTTTGAGGATAAAGCGATATAAAATTCTTTACTATTATTGTTTTCTTCAAGTTATAATAATTTGATGCGTGCGCTATGTTAACGTTAAGTTAAATGAACAGTTTCGTAATGTATCGCAAAAGAAAATAAATCTAGAAAACAATTGGTTATTTTCTTATAATCTAAAATCTAAACGAAAGTTGGGAACAAATCGAATTGTATAAAAGTATAACAGCTAATTGATTACATATATATATATATATATATATATATATATATATATATATGATAGAGATGAATCTATTGATGGATTAAATAAGAGAAAAAATCCTATTTGCAGTTAAAATGAATCTTGATGCTTGATGATGAATTATATACCAATTTGCAAATACATTTTTCAGTTCTGTAAACTGCACATCTATTCAGTTTGTCAAAAATTTAAAAGAATTTTTAATCAAACCGAAGCTGGAAATAACTTCACAGATTAACCACATAATTCTCCGAGTGATATCCTGAGGACATCTCTCATGTCTGTTTCTATCAATGTAGATTAACTTTATTTAATCTAGAGTTCAACTGACTCTCCATCTTTTTCTAATTTTTAGAATTAGAAAAATTTAATATGAATTAAAAATTAAATAGAATTAAAAATGATGAGTTGGTTGAACCGAGATTAAAATCAAATTACATTGGTAGAAATAGACATTAGAAAAATATATTGTGGAGATACTTTGATTGTCAATTTAATAATAATGTTAATAAGCATGTTAAAATACAAGAAAAATATATTGACAAAATTGCGTTAATGGAAACTCTACTATTCCAAACTATATTGTAAATTTATATCATCCTCTCAGGTCAGGCCACAATTATCGTACATCAACATGGAGGTAAGTAAATACTGATTGACTTATGATATCTCAAGACTGTACTTAAGGCAGTTTTAGATTTAAGATCCGACTATAAATACCGACTTTGGTAACGTAAGATGGTTTGACTTGTTTCTTTTATTATTTTAACTGAAACTATTAGGAGAAAAATTATTTAATCAACTAAATTGCATTAGCTATTATATGAAAATTATCTAATTAACTAAACTTATTTAGCAGATACCTATATCTACCTACGTAGGTTGATTACATAAAGGGCCGGGTAAAATAGTAATAATGGCAGATCATAATTTTACGCCATCGCCGCATTCTAACCGCAACGTGCGCTTCTGCAAAATTACATGAAGTGCATTCGGTTATCTCTTAGCTTGGCAGTTGGCACACGAAGTTGCACAAAGTTTCCAAAGAAATATCGAGACGTCAATACGAGATGGTGAAAAAGTCTGCAATAAAATCGGATTGATCGGCCAATGTCGGACACCCTTGTTTTCAGAATTTCGTAAACAAAGTTTGTTTACAAACTTTACAACGTTTGTTTAACAAACGCGAGTTTAGGACGGTTAGGTCAGTTTAGAGGCTTGTTCTTTTTAGCTGAAACTGACTTCTTGATTTTTTGCACGATTCATCTTTCTTTTTTTTCCCTCCACGTTGAAGAGAAAAAGAGAAGTGATCTTAAGTAAACATACTTTCGGCGCACGCGTGACAACCAGTTTACCCGCGCGTTGCCGCCAATTCCTGGTATTTTTTCAGTATTAGTCTCATTGCTTTTTGCTCTCGAGGGAATTGATGTAAACGTAAGACTGCAAGAATTTTCTTTTATACCCTCAATCGCAGCTAACACTGCTGGCAGGAGCAATTGGTAGCGATGTCGAAGTACGCGTGTTTGAGGCCTGCCGGCATGTCCGATGAGGAGGACGATGAGGACGATGACGTCTTTTACTCTCTCGAGGAGGTAAGATTAACTGGTGCATGTAAAATTTTGGGTGCTTTCCAGCAGAAACACAGATGACAATGTATGATGACATCCTTGGTGTTTGCTAATGTTAAATGAAGAGGACGTGATCACTGTTGATCACTGTGTCGCTTGCCGGAAAGCACCATTTGTTTCGTTGTATGGCGGTTTTCTCACTTTGTTTCTTAAACAGAGAGAGTCTACTGTCAAAAAACGTAATTATACTTCATGGAGGAGGGAGACAACGGAAGAGACAAAAATCAATTCCGAGGTAAACGAGGAATGTATCTACGAAGATCTCCTTGTGAAGGCATGTACGATGGGGCAATTGAAAGTGATACAGGAATATCTTGAACGTAAACATCTCATATGCATAAAGCTGATTCTACAATGTCAGTAGTTGGAAATCTAAGTCTTAATCATTTTTAACCTAAGTGATTATGATTTTTTGTATCTACAAGTAAATTGTACAGTGAGTCGTTTAGCTCAACTAAAGTCGAATTTGGCCAGTTTTAAGGAAATCAGTAGTCTTAGTCGTACAAGTTGACTGTTTACTAATTTCACCGATTCACCGATAAGACTTAGGACTACTCTCTACTGACTTATAGAATGAATATAATATGTATCAAGTTCCCATATATTAACCTATTTGTAATCATATTTTTAGATTTTTACTTCCTACTTTCTAGATTTACTTCTACAATCTGGATCTTTTTTGTTCAGTCCAGTTTTTTTTTACTATTCTAGGTGTCCAGAAAAAATTCACAATTACTTTTCAACATCTCTGTTATGTTATTAAGTTGTTTTTTAATTTAAATGATAAAATTTTTAATAAAAATTGGATTTGAACAAAAATGAGAGCGAAATTTGAGAATAAAATTTCACTTATGCAAAAAAGATCCAGATTGCCATTGAAGAGTTAATCAGATTCATGTTTCTTTCTCTCTCCTTTGTATTAAATATATACTAATACATAATGCTCACCGAATGTTTTTGTAGAAGAACATGATGTCAATAAGTTCCTATATACTGGATGGACTCTATTATTATATGCAATTTCATCAGTGGAACCAGAAATAGTAGAGCATCTTTTGCTACATGGTGCAAACCCGAATAAGCATAAAGGTATGGATTGATGTTATTTTATTCGTTATTTTAAGTTTCATATAAAATTTCTATAATCACCAAATGGATTACAGATGGATTTACACCTCTTATGGCGCTGTGCAATTCTACAAAGGGAACATCAGAAAATTCTATGAAATGCCTTGAGCTTTTAATACAAGCGAAAGCTGATGCAAATACTACAAATAAGCACAAGTAAAATTAATGCCATATAAATAAGAAATGGAGAAGCTAATGTCTCTCCGATATTAAAATTATTAGCATAGTTACTAACTTGATTTGACTGATGATCACAATTTTTACAGGGAAACGGCTCTAATGTACGCCTGTATGTCAAAGGATGCGGAATTTGTCTTCGAGCTTATAAAATACGTACAGAACATTGATGCTTGCGACGGCGATGGGAAATCGGTAAGTCTCAACATCATTAAGTATCAAAGATTTTCCTATATAAATTTTCGATCCAATTATAGGCATTGATGTACGCCGCTTCAGCTAATAAACCTGATAACGTCAAAATTCTTCTGGCGCATAATGCGAATACTTTATTGACAGACGAATACAATTTATCTGCCAAAGATATCGCAGATACAAAAGGATTCTCAGCGGTAATTGATATCTTTCTCATCGTTCAATTTTATACTTTGCCTGTAAATTCCTTCATTTTTCATTTTCTAGATATCTGCTCTGTTGAATGAAGATGAAGAAGAAATACAACCGTTTTACGAGATATCTGATGT